AAGACTGACACTACCTGACTTCAAAATATGCTATAAAGCAATAGTGATCAAGACAGTGAGGTACAGGTAAAAGAATAAACTCCAAGATCAATGGAACAGAGAGTCCCAAAATAGACGCACATGAATACAGAAAAAGGCAATACATTGGAGAAAAGATAGGCTTTTCAACTAATGGTGCTGGAACAACAGGACTTCCACATGCAAAAAAAAATGAATCTGGACAGACCTTATACCCTTCAGAAAAAATTAACTCCAAATGAACCACAGACCTAAATGTGAAACACAAAACTATAAAACTCCTAAAAGATAACATAGGAAAAAAATCTAGGTAACCTTAAGGTGGAAGATTACTTTTTAGATGCAACACCAAAGGTGCAAATCATGAAAGAAAGAATTGATAGCTGAACTTCATTGAACTAAGAAATTCTGCTGTGTAAAAGACAGTGTCAGAAGGAGAAAACAAACCGCAGACTGGGAGAAAGTGTTTGCAAAAAGAATAGCTGATAAAGGATTGTGTGAACTAATAGAAAAATATTATATACATATATATATACACACACACATATATGTATACAGTATTTGTATACACATATTTGTATATACATATATATGTACATACATATAATACACATATATTCTTATATACATATACTGTATATGTATATAATATACATATCTGCTTCTGGTTCCTGGCATAGAACTCCTAAAACTCTTGTGATTTCCTATGTGACAAGTGACTAGAAGCATCTTTTGTTCTAATATTTGGTCTTTGATCTTGATTCCTAACACAGAGTTCCTAAATCCTTTGGAATTTACCTGGGTGATAGGAGTGCTTTTGCCAAGAAGGCAACCCCAAATGGGCTCCTGAATAGCTTCAGGATAGGGGCTGGTCACCGCATAGATCAAGCCGTGATTAGAAGCCTGGAACTTTCAGCCCCATATCCCATCTCCCAGGAAAAGTAAGAGGGGCTGGAGACTGAGTTAATGATTAATCATGCTTATGTGATAAAGCCTCTATAAAAATCCCAGAAGTGCAGGGTTTATTGAAGTAAGTTTCTGGGCTGGTGAACACATCCATATACTGGGAAGGTGAAGCATCCTAACACGGAGACAGGAGCTTCTGTGTTGAGGACCCTTCCAGACTTTGCCCTGTGTATCTGTTCATCTGATTGGTCATCTGTATCCTTTATTATATAATAAACTGATAAATGTGTTTCCCTGAGTTCCGTGAGCATTTCAAGCAAATTCAAATTCAACAGACAAAAACTGTGGGTAACCTGGGGACCTACTACTCACAATTGCCATCTGAAGTGGCGAGCAGTCTCATGGGACTAAGCCCTTAACCTGTGGGGTCTGTGCTAACTCTGGTTAGCGTCAGAACTGAACTGAATTGTTAAGACAACTGCCTGGTGTTGCAGAGAATTGCTTGGTATGAGGAAAAAAATCCCACACATCTGGTGTCGGAAGTATTGTAAATGGCAGTAGTATGAGAGTAAAGGAGAAAAACACAGAAGTGTGTTTTTCCTACAGACTGTTATCCAAAATATACAAAGAACTCTTAAAACTGAACAATAACACACACACACACACACACACACACACACCCCAATTAAAAAATGGTTCAAAACCCTTAATAGACATGTTACCTAACAAGATATACAAATGGAAAGTAAGCATACA